TGGTAGCTACCTCTACATGAAATTCAAAGAAAGCCTTGTCCAGTTTGCATTAAACAATATCTGGCATCCGAATACGAGCACTCCATCCTCTCCATGGTCTCATGCGTTATGCATATGAACATTGTTTTCATGCTCCCATCAGACTCAAACACAAGCAAGGCTTTTCTCGTTGTAAAGGTTTGTTGAATTGTCTATCTCTGCACAAAGACAAAAAGAAAAACAGATAGTTTGCCTGCACCAAAACACAGTCCAAGTTCTCTAACGCAAACACAATCTGACACATGCTAAAAATTGCCTGAAGCACTGGTGAGTTACAGTTCACCTCCCTGGGGCAGATAATTCATTAGGAAATGGCCTCATGCCCTATGTAGCAATTGGACAAAAATATTTACTTGTGGTAATATCAGATGATAAGGGTAACAGAGTTACTTTCGGAACAAGGAGGGGAGAGGGAACCCCTGCAGTAGATGCCCATCATAAGCTTTGCAAATGAATCATTAGCCTTCATCTCTGCAATCTAGGTCAGGATGGGCGCTAAAGGGGAGGGCTTTTAAATCCACTACAGGACTCAGGTTGAATCTGCTTAGGTGAAAACCCAGAAAGCATTCAGCTATACTGTACTGGGCATGCTGAGGGAAATAGAAAAATGCTTTCACCTGATAGAAAGACCTTTTCCTGACCCAGAGGGTAATCAGAAATAAGGATGGCTATACTTTCAGATGAATACCACTTAAATGTATACACACACACACACACACACACACGCACACACACACACACCCTACTTTTTTCTAAGCTATCCACGTTCAACTTTTCAGGCCCTGAACACAGTGTCTGCCAGATAGATTTTAAAAGGGAGACAATACCTTCCAGACTCCGAAACATGTGGATTCTGTTGAAAAACAGTAGAATCATACACTGTTCATGTTGAAAGGGACTTTAGAAATCATCGACTCATGTTGAAGAAGAGGATAGAAAACAGGGAAAGTGATTCACTTGCCCAAGGTCATACACATGTCCAACACCACAACTTATTTTTCTTTTGAGTTTTTTAAAAAGATTTCTTTTTTGTGCAATGTGAATAATTTATTAAATAATGCAGAAACAAAACAAGTTGGCGGGGTGACTGCGACCTGATAGACTGAATTTGTGTCACAGACTCTTGTCACAGACTCAGACAGTGAAAGAAAACTACGTTTCCCATAGCTCTATTTTGCGCTGGGGGAGTCCTTCCTCAAAACCCCCATCCTAGCTTTAACGTGATTATTTTCTAGATGCATTGTGGCACTTAATTCACTGGGTCAAAGGCTCTGACACTTTTGTGTGGCTCTTGCCCTATGCCTCCAGGACCACAAGAGGTTGGCTGGGTGTGTTTTCCTAAATACCTCCTCAAATACTGCTAACACTAGAGACATATAAATAGAAAAAACTCAAATTTCAAAATTCAACCCAAGCTAAATACTAAAGGAACTCACTAGGGTCTGCTATTTTCTTTTATTTGCCAAAATCTTTAGGAAGCTTTTCATGTTCAAATACATGAGGAAGAAATATATACAGGCAAAAAATGAAGAGACCCGGGTTTTGTTCTTAACTTCACCCCTGAATCTGCTGCAAACCACCCACATGGTCTCTAGAAGCTCTTTTCCATCTCTCTGGGCCCTGCTTTACTCTTTTATACAAAGTAAGGGGGGCACCAAATAATCTACAGGGTTCCATCATTAGTTATGCCTTGCAAATAATACCTCCAGAATTGTTTTTTTAAAGACACAGTAACTTCAGAGCTCTCTGTAGCTATTTCCAAAAGATGTGAACTGAGATTCAAGGAACACAGAAACACTTTGGTACCCGCTAACTCTATATAAAGCTTTCAAATGAGGGAGGTTCACTATTGAAACAATTTTCCAAAACAATGTTGACTGACTTTGTACTAAAAGCTTACGTATCTAACCATCTAACCACTGTTTTCCCCTCATTTCACTTTCCAGATTGATTTGTGAGGGGTTTTTTTTTTCTCTTTCTCTCTCTCCCTTATTTTTAAAACATTTGTTTAGGCCTGAAGAGACTGCAAGGTGGTATGTACAAACAGATAAGTAAGAATAAGCCCATTTCTTATCTAGACTGAGCATTTCACTAGGAACAGAGTTTTGTATTCCGTTTCTCCAGCCACCACCACTGAAAGGTTATAGAATATTCTATTTCAGGACACCTTTAAAGATGAGAAGCGCATTTAAAAGTACTGCAGAATGTTATTTTGATTTCTGCCACAGAATGAATCACTCCTCCTGAATACAAACACCAGCAAAGAATGCGTTAGAGGATCCGCCATCATATTAAAAATTAAATCCGGCTGCATTTCATAATGGGCTTTCCTTTTTAAAGCACGGTTTCATCTTCTCACCATGGAAATTGCACTCTGATGGCTGTTCTTTATGGTTAACGCAGGCATCGGCTGAGGTCAGAACCCTGCTTCTCTGAACAGGGAACCACAAATGTCACTGACACATGGTAGGCTTGGCAAATAATATATTTCTTTCCTGTGTCTTCAGTTTGTCTAACGTCATGCTTTTGGTAAGCTAAAGAGAGTTTATTTCTCGGGTCTTCCTTCCTTCCTTTGGTGGGATCAGCAGGAGGCATGCAATATACAATGAATTCAAAAGTGCATCTCTTTTGATTTTTGTTGTTGTCTTTATTTTAACCTCCAAGAAGTGAGAGATTTAACTCAGTCTTCACCTCAGGCTAAGCTAATACTTAGGTCATGTCTGAGCTCTCTGGGGAACCCTCGCTTTATACCATCGGAGGGGCAATGGTGTCTTTTCACATGGAGCAGCACAGCTGTCTGGCCATATGGGCCCCAAACAACCCAGTCAATTGGATTTGGGGAGGTTTTACAATATAATTTCTTAACGTGTTAGTATTTGGGGTGAATTTGGACAGGAGAATAGACAACTCTTAAGCCCAAGGGTTTAGGTTTTAAGGAGCCATCACAAATGTCTCAGCATCCGACCAGACTGGTTAAAAACAGATATGAAATCCGGGACTGGGGGAGGGGAAAGGACTCCTGACCCCCTGGTTGGAGCAAGCCCCAGGGGTATGCTCTAACTATTAATTCAGCATCAGCTGCTTTCTTCTTCTTCTTCTTCTTCTTTTTTTTTTCCTTTTCTTTTCTTTTTTAACCCGGGGATCATCATTTCAGGCGTTCCCACTCAGGCCTGCAAAGCCTGTTACAAAACCATCGCTCTCCTCCCCTCCCCCCATGCCGCAAGATGAGCGGCAAGTACCCTGCATTGCAGCAACCGCGAGGAGCGACTGCCAGAAACCGTCCTCAACCTAAACAAAACCAGGCCTTTAAGAAAAACTACGGAAAAGGGAGCTGCGGCGTGTCCTACTGCCCTTCAGCCCAGGCCAACTCGGGTCACAGACCCATCCCTCCATATACAAGAGGTTCCGAAACTACCTGCGAAAGGAATTCTTAGTGAATAGGAAACAAATCGTGCTGAAGCTAAAAACCTTTATCAAAATGGTGGGAGTCTTGAACCAAGCCACTGCCAGTGTAGTTTTTCCCCCAGAAAAGTATTTTAGTTTGAGAGGAACGTTATCAGAATGGTAAGTTTTCCCGGAAAGACAGCCCCAATGATGGTTTTTTCCAATTAGGTATGGTCTTCAGAAATTAAACATCAATTTCAGGCAATGGTTTGTTTCTTCTTTTTCTTCTTTTTCCTTCTTCTCCTCCTCCCGTTCCTCCTTCTCTTCCTCTTTTTTCCTGCTCTCTGTCTGTTTAAACCAAAGCTTTCCGCTTCTTGAAATTTACAAAACTGCTTCTGTTCTAAGCTTCTTGTGGTGTATTGTTGGAAGCAAAAGGCCAGTGCCGAAAGGGTTTTAGATCGCCATTCTACTTCTATTGGGACAAACACCCAATAATTGACAAGAGCCGAAATGGCCTCGAAGTGAGAAGGGCCGCGCCTGGGTCACCCTTCGTGCTGCCACTCCAAATGGGTGGGCACCTCTGCCGCGACCCTCGCGGGCTGTGCGGCTTCAGGAGGGCTGCTTTTAGCTGGCAGGGCTTGTTCTCCCCATCTCTTGTTGCCCTGAATCCAGCAGTGCCCAAGAAACACTTAGATATCTCCCTCTCCCTCTCCCTCTCCCTCTCTCTCTCTCTCTCTCTCTCTCTCTCTCTCTCAAGTCATCAAAGAAGAAAAGCCGGAGTAGGGGAAGCAGATGGGCCCTGCGTGTGCGTGAACCGCGCAGGTCAGGGCTGCCCTCGCGGCTGCGGCACTGACCCCGTGGAAAGTCCGAAGGTTTCTCATTGCAGGCGCTGGGTTATGGTTGGGGGGCTGGGGCTGGGGGCCCTCTTTGGTTTGGCTCTTGTGGGAGGATTCATTCTAGTCCTTCCTCAAGGCCAAGCTCACCCTGTGCTCCCGGAAAGACACAAATACCGCCACCGCCACCACAACAAAAGGCGCCTCCCCGAAGTGGGTCTGATGTCCGCGGGACGGGTGGGCCCGACGTGGAGCGCACTTCTGCGCCTCTAATCTCGGACGTCCATCTGGCCCCGGCGCGCGGAAGGGCTCCGGGAGGGGCGGGGCGCGCGCGCATCCCAGCCGCGGGCACGCGCGCCCGCTCTCCTTCACGTTCACCTTGACTGCGGGGGGGTGGGGGGCGGGGGATGGAATGATCGCCCCACTCCCCCCCACTCCTCCCCCACCCCCCGCCGCTGTCCTGCCCAGACGCCCGCCAGGGCGGAGTGGGGGAGGCGGCACCGGCGCCCGGGTAGCCGCAGCGGCCCGGCAGCCGCAAGCTCTCCGCAGTGATGTCAACCGCATCCGCCGCAGCCCCCGGCAGCCCTCGCCCGCGCCGCGGCCGGCGGAAACCCCAGCCTGTAGCCTCCCGCCAGGGCCGAGAAGCGGAGGGCGCGCGGGTCCCCGGAGACCCCCAATCCGTCTGCCTAAGCGGGAGAGACCAGGAGTGGACGCCCGGCGATGCCGGGACCCCCGGGGCGGAGGAAGGGGAAGAGGAGTTGGAAGGGGCCGGTGGAGTCAGGTGTCGATTTGGCGCCCGCCGCTGCGGAGGGGACACTGCCCCGGACTGGTGCTGCCCAGGGAGCGTTCAGGGAGCGTGGGGCGCCGACCACTGCAGATGCGGCGGCGCGCGTGGGCTCGGGCAGGCGCCCCCTTCTCCCGGGATAGAAACTGATAAACGGAAGCGCGTGTGAGTGTGGGGGTGCGAATCGCCACCTCCGGCCTTGGCTTTCCCGCTCTTCCGAGCGCTCCCACTTCTCACTTTCCCCAAATCCGCATTTTCCTTGGCACAGCTCTCCCGGAGCACGAAGGAGAGGGAGGTACCCGGGGGCAGTGAGAATGACGTGTGCTGGTGCAGAGGGGGTGGGGGGCTGCGGGCCTGGCTCTGTGGACCGGCTCCTAATCCTCTTGTTTTCGGAACCGTCAGCAGATGTGGCTTCCTTTACCTGAATAATCCTTTAAAGGAATAATTTTTAAAACGGAATCGATCTCACCCAAAGAGGACGGCGCACAAGATTAGGGCTTGGTAAGGCTAAATTAAAAGGCTCCCAATTCTCTATGTCCCTCTGTGCCTTCCCCTCTACCCCTCCCCCTCCCTCCTCCACCCTCCCCTCCCCCCCCTTCTTCCTCATCCCCTGCAATCCGCGCTCGACGCGAGTTCACGCGAAGGGCTGGATTTCCAGGCGGCTCCGCAACTCGCGCGGCTCGGTGTTATTATTCATCCGAGGGTGCTGCCTCCGCAACCTTTGCCTCCTGCGCCGCTCTCCTTCCCCCGGCCGCCACCGCCAGCAGTGCAGCCCCTCTGGCACGCATGCTCTGGTTCACCAAGGGGAGACTGAATTTTTTTTTTTATCATGCTCATCATCATCATCATCATCATCACGTTCCTTATCATGGTTATCATTTCTTCCTGCCAGGTGGAACGACCACCAGCGCCGGCTCTCCACCTGCGCCTTCTCCAGCGAAGGCAGCAAGCAGTTCGGGCTCGGCCTGGCGCCCACCCCCAGTATGCTTCCACCACCTTCAGCATCCCCCACTCATTCATCTGCTTGTATATTATCTCGATCCCTTTCATTTCTGTAGATCTACTGCCTTTGGTTGGGCTGGCTGAATCGCTGGGGATTGCGGCCAGTCTCGTAAAAAGGAGAACAAAAAGCTGAAGACCTTGTGTGGCTGCCGGGACAAAGCACCTTGGGCTCAGGGAGAAGCGACGCGCAGGAGCCCTGGCCCCGGAACACGAGTGGCCGCTGCAGAAGGGCGTCCGCCCAGGCGTGCGGACCGCTGAGGGTATTCGGATTGAATTGTATTTGTCCTTGTGTCTTGCTTTCACAGTGCCGACGTAGATGAGGGGTCGGGGTTTTTGGATTCTCTTTTTTTTCTTGGGAGGGGTAGCTGAATTGTGGGAGACCCAAGAGGACTTGACTTGGCTTTCCTGCTACCCTGCCTCGCCTTCCCAAGACGAGGGGGGTTGGGAAGGGGACAGGGGACTCTAGGCTTGGAAAAGGGAGGAAGTCCCCTGCTGCCTCGAGGGCTAACGGAGTAAAAGGTCGAGGTGGAGATGAGTGGGGATGGGCCAGTCCAAGGAGCACTGCGGAGGAGAAGGGGTCTCCCCCACCCTCGGGTCCACAGGATGAGTTTTGCTGGGAATAAGAATGTGGGTGTCTGTTGATAGGAGCGCTGAGAAATTGATGAGAAATTGACATGTCTGTGCACATATGAGGCGGCGACAGGATTTGTGTGTAAACAGAGTGGAGAGGTGGAGGAGGGCATGGAGGGGGAGGCTTAAAATAATGTCTTATTGTCCCTTT